TATTCAACATAGTTTTGGAAGTTTTGGCCACAGCAATCAGAGCAGAAAAAGAAGTAAAAGGAATCCAGATAGGAAAAGAAGAAGTGAAACTCTCGCTGTTTGCAGATGACATGATCCTCTACATAGAAAATCCTAAAGACTCTACCAGAAAATTACTAGAGATAATCAACAAATACAGTAAAGTTGCAGGATATAAAATTAACACACAGAAATCTCTTGCATTCCTATACACTAACAATGAGAAAACAGAAAGAGAAATTAAGGAAACAATACCATTCACCATTGCAACAAAAAGAATAAAATACTTAGGAGTATATCTACCTAAAGAAACAAAAGACCTATACATAGAAAACTATAAAACACTGATGAAAGAAATCAAAGAGGACACAAACAGATGGAGAAATATACCGTGTTCATGGATTGGAAGAATCAATATTGTCAAAATGGCTATACTACCCAAAGCAATCTACAGATTCAATGCAATCCCTATCAAACTACCAACGGTATTTTTCACAGAACTAGAACGAATAATTTCACAATTTGTATGGAAATACAAAAAACCTCGAATAGCCAAAGTAATCCTGAGAAAGAAGAATGGAACTGGAGGAATCAATCTGCCTGACTTCAGACTATACTACAAAGCCACAGTCATCAAGACAGTATGGTACTGGCACAAAGACAGAAATATAGATCAATGGAACAGAATAGAAAGCCCAGAGATAAATCCACGAACCTATGGTCACCTTATCTTTGACAAAGGAGGCAAGGATATACAATGGAAAAAAGACAACCTCTTTAACAAGTGGTGCTGGGAAAACTGGTCAACCACCTGTAAAAGAATGAAACTAGAACACTTTCTAACACCATACACAAAAATAAACTCAAAATGGATTAAAGATCTAAATGTAAGACCAGAAACTATAAAACTCCTAGAGGAGAACATAGGCAAAACACTCTCCGACATAAATCACAGCAGGATCCTCTATGACCCACATCCCAGAATTTTAGAAATAAAAGCAAAAATAAACAAATGGGACCTAATGAAACTTAAAAGCTTTTGCACAACAAAGGAAACTATAAGCAAGGTGAAAAGACAGCCCTCAGACTGGGAGAAAATAATAGCAAACGAAGCAACAGACAAAGGATTAATCTCAAAAATATACAAGCAACTCCTCCAGCTCAACTCCAGAAAAATAAATGACCCAATCAAAAAATGGGCCAAAGAACTGAACAGACATTTCTCCAAGGAAGACATACAGATGGCTAACAAACACATGAAAAGATGCTCAACATCACTCATTATCAGAGAAATGCATATCAAAACCACAATGAGGTACCATTACACACCAGTCAGGATGGCTGCTATCCAAAAGTCTACAAGCAGTAAATGCTGGAGAGGGTGTGGAGAAAAGGGAACCCTCTTACACTGTTGGTGGGAATGCAAATTAGTACAGCCACTATGGAAAACAGTGTGGAGATTTCTTAAAAAGCTGGAAATAGAACTGCCATATGACCCAGCAATCCCACTTCTGGGCATACACACCGAGGAAACCAGATCTGAAAGAGACACGTGCACCCCAATGTTCATCGCAGCACTGTTTATAATAGCCAGGACATGGAAGCAACCTAGATGCCCATCAGCAGACCAATGGATGAGGAAGCTGTGGTACATATACACCATGGAATATTACTCAGCCATTAAAAAGAATTCATTTGAATCAGTTCTAATGAGATGGATGAAACTGGAGCCCATTATACAGAGCGAAGTAAGCCAGAAAGATAAAGACCATTACAGTATACTAACACATATATATGGAATTTAGAAAGATGGTAACGATAACCCTATGTGCAAAACAGAAAAAGAGACTCCTATGTATAGAACAGACTTGTGGACTCTGGGAGAAGGTGAGGGTGGGATGTTTCAAGAGAACAGCATCGAAACACGTATATTATCTAGGGTGAAACAGTTCACCAGCCCAGGTTGGGTGCATGAGACAAGTGCTCGGGCCTGGTGCACTGGGAAGACCCAGAGGGACTGGGTGGAGAGGGAGGTGGGAGGGGGGACCGGGATGGGGAATACATGTTAAAAAAAAAAAAAAAGATACACTATGGCTGTGAAAAAAAAAATAAAATGTATGATTTACTAAAAAAAAAAAAAAAAGAAAAAAGAAAAAAGAAAAATTCCAAACTAAGAAGTTAAAAAAAATAAATAAATAAAAATAAATAAATAAATAAATAAATAAATAAAGCAATAAACTTGAACTCCTGAGAGTTCACAGGGTGGAAGGATTTTTGGGGGTATTATTTTGTAAGCTCAAATTCAAACTAACTAGCAGGTAGTATCAAAGTTACAAAGGAACTTCTCTATTAACCATACTTGTTTTTCTAACCTGGCTTGAATATGAATCTTAATTTTCATTTCTCCAAGAAGGTGCACAGAGAATGAAACCGAAACTATCACATGCAAATGCACATTCCGGTCTGATTTTAACTGCAAGTATTGATTTTCTTCCCCAGGGGTGAATTTGAAAGCTGTGGTTTCAAATGGCCTATCACTATGGTTCAATCCTGGGAATTCATTGCAGTGGTCTGAACTTCATCTAAGTACCTTGCCTGCTGGTTCCAAACTCCTGGTGACTTTTGGTTTGAAGGTCCTCCTCCTCTCAGCCAGACAACTATCTTCCCCTCCTGTATCAATTACCTCTGACTTTCCTCCAAATGGGGAGCCAGAAAGCTGTTCTGGCCTCAGTCTGGATGTTCTCCATTCCATGGAAGGGTATGTGTTTTGAAGACAGATTTCTAGAACAGGAAGTATCATCTAATCCAAGCATCTCACATTATAGCTGGGCCCTATTTTTGATAATGAAGTACCAGCTGTTTGATTTCAAGTTTCTCATAAAACTGACTGTTTGAGCAGCAATGGTCTCAGACCCAGTCAGTCTAGTCCGGGGGTTCCAATACCACAGCTGTCCAGGACGCTTCAGTTTGAGCTGTAAAGTCCATCTGAAACAGCAAGTGTTATGGTAAGGATATAGAAGTTGCCATTTTTCTTAGCTATGGGCTAGAATTTTATTAACTCAATGGGCATCCTGTACATCTTAGATCAAAAGCATTTATAGATGATCTGATTAGCAAAATAAAGTTGACAGTGTCAACACTAAAAGTGGTAACAGTAAAAACCTGAAACAATGGGTTCATTGAGGCAAATGAAAGTAAAGAAAAGGTAGCGCACACAGTGTGTGAGAGTCTGCCTGTCAATGAGGAGATGTGGGTTCAATCCCTGGTACAGGAAGATTCCACTTGCCTCAGAGTAACTAAGCCTGTGAGCCACAACTACTGAGCCTGCATTCTAGAGCCCACAAGCCACAACTAAAGAAGCCTACGTATCCTAGAGCCCGTGCTCCACAAGAAAAGCCTTCACAATGAGAAGTCTGCACACCTCAACGAAGAGCAGCATCCGCTCATCACACCTAGAGAAAAGCCTGACCAGTGACAAAGATCCAGCAAAGCCAAAAAAGAAAAAAAAAAATTCCTTAAAAAGAAAAAAAGGTAAGGAAAATATTGGAGAACATTCAGCAACAGAAGATTTTTGTTTTACTGATGAGAAAACTATAGCCCTTAAAGATTATCTGCCTGGACCAAGGAAATTGTACAAGTGGCTGAATGTAATGACCGAAGAAGAAATCAAAGTTCTGGATGCTGGTCCAGGCTACTTACAATGTGCTGCCTGCTGCCATGCTCGGAAACTCTTTCTCAGACAGATCTGTGCTTTATTTTTTTCATCAGTATATACTGGTTACCTCTCTTACTACCAAGCCCTCTTCTGTAAAACGGGTATATAAATGGTTCCTACCCTATAGGGCCACTATGGGTATTAAATAAGATAAGGCAATCAAAGCACTTTTAACACTGCCCAGTACAAAGTAAACACTTGACAAACTTCTATTCAGTGAAAGCGGATCTAGAATAGCCCCCCAAGTACCTCACTGTGAGATTACCAGGAGTTGGCAACTCGAGCTGAAAATCTGGTAATTGCCTTCATTCATACACAATCCGGAATTTACCAAAGGGGGTTAGCTTTCCCCACCTATAAGCCCAAACCTGGTTGCCTCCCTTGCAACCGAAGGTGGGCAAAGAGGAAGAGAAATCAGTGGACAGTGAGTCCCGGAGATCTTTTAAGGATTTAATGGGGAAAATTAATGAAATAGAAATGTTAAGCTCATAGCAGAACTGAAGTTAGAACTCTTGCCCTGCCCAGAGTCAGGATCTTGAGAGCACTCCATAGATAGCCCATACCACCACCAGCAGCAGCTACCATTTCCTGTTTTCTCTGTACCAGGCATCGTGCACACGTTACATATCCCAACAATCCTGTGAAATATTATTATCCGTGTTTTTTTTACACGTGACCAGTAGTGGCTTGACTGACTCAAGGTCAAAGAACTAGTCAGGGCAGCAGAATTTCAGTGTAGTTCTAAAGCTAAGCTTTTACCATCCCTAATCTTGAGTCCAAAGTTGCAGCTAGACAAAGAAAGATTTTTCGACCTAAACTGATATATACAAATGTCCTGTGTCGAAAGCCTTGAGACAAGGATCATCTGTAACAATGACCTGTCTTCAGGTCCTTGGACAAATCAAAACTTCTCGGGCTTTGGTTGCTTCCGTAAAACGTGGGCAATTAGCCTCCAACTAATAAAAATAAATGGAAAAAAACCCAAAACAACACGTGGAAACTGAGCCAGCTGCCTCTAAGCCTGAAATCCAGTCCCCGGCAGAGTCCAGGGAAGCCCAAGCAGGCAGTCAGGGAGGCCGCGCTCGCGGAGGGAGCCTTAAACCAGGAGGGAGACCCCGCCGCCGGGGCGGGCAGAGCCTGGCTCGCCGCCGGAAGCCGGGCCGGGGTGCTGGGCGGGCGGGGACGGACGGGGACGGACGGGGAAGGGCGACAGGAGGCCGGGGAGCGAGGCGGCGTGCGCGCGCCCGCAGCCCGTGCCCGCGGTTACCTGAGACGGCTGCCGCCTCCTCTTCCCAGCGCTCGGCGCCCGCGGGCTGCGCGGCCAGAGACGGCAGCCAGAGCAGCAGCCAGCACGTCTCGGGGCGCAGCCTCATGCCGCTCGAGGGTCAGCCGCGCGCGGCCCTGGGAGGAGGGGGACGGGGCTCCTCGGGCGAGAGTAGCGGAAATGGCGCGCGGCGCAGGAGCAGGGCGGGGGGCGGCGCGGCCTGCTGGCGGGAAGGGCAGACGGCCCGCCTCCCCCGGCGGAGGAAGAGTGCGGCCGCCGCCCAGCCCCCCGCCCCGCCGGGCTCCGCCCCGTCTCACCCTGGAGGGTGCGGGCCCGAAGGGACCATCTGTGGATTGTGCAGAAACCTGCCCTGACCCCGACTGCGGGGTTTTAGGGCTCCGTTTTCAGAGTACCCTTGCGTGACGTCCCAGGAATGCTAAGGCCCTTCAGTTAAGTTCAGTCGCTCTGTCGTGTCTGACTCTTTGTGACCCCACGGACTGCAGCACGCCAGGCTTCCCGGTCCATCACCAACTCTTGGAGCTTGCTCAAACCCCCGTCCATCCAGTTGGTGATACCATCCAACCATCTCATCCTCTGTCGTATCCTTCTGCCGCCAATCTTCAGCAACCCCCTTACTTAAAAAAATAATAGAAATCAATTTAAAAAATAAAAATCAATTCATCTTCCATTTTCCGTTTTGTTTGTAACAATAACAAATCGGCAATTTGGTTGCTTAAATAGACTGACTTCTCACATGTCAGTATAAAGAGCATGTAAAACAGTCTCTCAGAGAAGACTCTTGAGAGTCCCTTGGACTGCAAGGAGATCCAACCAGTCCATCCTAAAGGAGATCAGTCCTGGGTGTTCATTGGAAGGGCTGATGCTGAAGCTGAGACTCCAATACTTTGGCCACCTCATGCGAAGAGTTGACTCATTAGAAAAGACCCTGATGCTGGGAGGGATTGGGGGCAGGAGGAGAAGGGGACGACAGAGGATGAGATGGCTGGATGGCATCACCGACTCGATGGACATGGGTTTGGGTAAACTCCGGGAGTTGGTGATGGACAGGGAGGCCTGGCGTGCTGCGGTTCATGCGGTCGCAAAGAGTCGGACACGACTGAGCGACTTAACTGAAAACATTCTCTCACCAATGTAACATACCCCTTGAAATTAGCTTGTGTGTGTGTGTATTTAAAAAGATACAGAGAATAGATTGGTTGCCGGAGAGGGGGTGGGGAGATGAGGAAACTGGGTGAAGGTGGTAAAAAGGTCTAAACTTCCAGTTATAAGTTCTGAGGATGTAATGGTGACTAAAGTTAACAATACTGTAACCTTATTTGAAAACTGCTGACAGCAGATGTTAGAAGTTCTCATCATTTAAACAAAAGCCTGCAACTGTGAGGAAGTGTATGTTAAACAGATTATATTTACAATATATACATATATCAAATCCCTATGTTGTACCCCTAAAACAAGCACAGTGTTATATGTCAATCATATCGCAATAAAACTGGAAAAATACCTTGAGTGGTTTTAATAGCAATAATGAGTAGAGAACTCCTAGTTTGAAATATCTTTAAACTGTATTTTTTTTTTTAAGGCACAGATCCTCTTCAGGCCTTGGAAACCCATTAATGTGATTCAGTATTTCACACTAAACATTCAGTAGAACAACAGCTCATTTCCTCTTTTGTAATTTTGGGCTTCTGCTAAGGTACTCCAGAGAACCCAATTGTGACAGAAATCACCTTCTAAAAATAGTTAACCTCATTTTCCCCAAAGGTCTGAGTAGAACTCACTAGACTTTCCCTGGCTTCAAAGTAAAGTTAAACCAACTGCCTTCAAAGCCCTGGTGCCATGTGTACACCCAAATATTGCTTTTTGCAAATTCAGAAATCTTATAAAGAACTCTTGAGTTCAGAAATCTCTTTGTAAGGGGCTCTTGGGGAGGATGAGTTTTACAAACAAACTGTTATTATTTGAACTCCTACCTTGTCTGACCCTGAAGACTACCTCCAGAGAAACAGCAGAGACCCTGACCCCACTTGCCCCTTGCACAACATTTTTTTCTAACCATATTTATTTTGATTTAGTCTAATTTTGAATGGCATTATGAAATGTGGCTAAAAGAAACACGTATATTCTCACATGACAGAAATGTTTTCCTATACCTGTATCAAGTAGAGGAATAAAAGAACAGGAAACAAGTGTGTATTAAATTAATATTTTAAGTGCTATTCATGTAGAATATCCCTAATAAATATCTTTAGCTTCTTATTAAGAAAGCTAAATCAAAACACCACATTCTGCTTTAAAGGATAGCAATAAATATTTTCCTAGAGATAACAGAATCTTAGAAGGTGACCATTTTATCACTGGGAGACTATGCTGAAATTCAACTAAACCTCCCCAAACCTTTCTCTCTTATGAAAACCTCTCATGAAAATAGATAAGCTTTGTGGTGACAATGGCAGTGAAGGGGGGAAGAGATACTGTGGAGAAAGAAATACAAGAAAACAGAATAAGGAGAGTTGTCAGATTTACGAAAACTCATGGGTTCTTTCACATCATTATGGAACACTGCTTCCTTTTCATGAGAAGCAGATGGGATTAACAATCTGTGATTAGTGCAGTCTATTGTTCTTAAATTACATCAGCATTTGTGGTGCCTCTTTCTAGAAGACAACTACACTGATTAAACAAACCAAACCAAAACCAAATCCATAGAAACAGGACTCCTGCAGAATCTTCTGTTCAAAGCTATCTGGGATATTATGCAGGTTTGCTTTCTGTCTTTCTGTTAGAAAACAAAGAATATGTTTGCCTATCAGTGGATCAGTGAGCTAAGAAAGTTGTAGTTATTGGTTGCCATTATACTTGCCCAGGTGATGTAAGACAATTAATTGTACCTGGATTTTAACGCCAGCCAATACTTTTCTACCCCAAAAGAGATGCTTGAAAAAGGACAAAATTCATTGTCTATTTGAAGAAGTTGCCCAATTGTATTGCCTACAGATCTCAGCTATAGATTTCCAGCAAACACTCCGTGGCAAACTCTAAGACAAACGAAGCACTGCCTGTCTGGATCTCACAGGTAAGGAAGAAGTCGGAACTCTTGGCAGAATGCTAGCGGTGTGGGTAACATGTAAATGTTTAACGCTGTAAAGGCAGATTCCCAGGACATACCCTCCTGAGACTGAGTCAGTCCACTTGGCATAGAGACCCAAATGTTTCTTCTTAATATTTACCCCAAGTGATTAAAAAATATTAAGACTATGAGTTTTACAAGTTTCATGCTTGAATGGAAGTAGAATTTTGGGCAAGTTTGAAATCACAGCTAAAATACTCTGTGCATTTTATGTAATTTATATTGCTAGAATATAACATCTACTTATTTTTTTCAAAAACCAATGCATAATAAAGAGTTTCCTTAATATTATTTTGGTGACCCAAGTTCTTTAATTCCATTTGACTATTTTCACATGGTGTGATAAAAATTACAATTCAAATTTCAGCCTCTGCGTTTTTATTTCTGGAGTTCTCACTCCTGTAACTAATAAATTTTCTGTAACTGTCACAGGGTTATAATCAGTCATTATGAATCAGAAGTAAAATTTAGTTCATGTCAGAAACTATTTAGGAGCTTTCACTTGGTTTCTAGGTTGGTAGAAGGTTTAATTAAATGAATTAGAAGAAAACAGGCAAAGTTCTGTTACTTTGGATTCTTCCATAAAAGAGGATTTAGAAAGACTGTAATGATACCCAGCAATGCCACAAAGATTACAGAAGCTGTATGTCACCATTTCTTTAACAATTCCCACTTTTAGAATTTTATACATCAAGAGAAAAAAAACAGGTTGTTCTAGACTTCTCATAAAATAAAAAAAAAGACATTGACTTGTTGGATCATGTTTTTTTGTAGCATACTTCATGTAGAAAATAATTGGAAATTGACTTGCCATATCCTAGCTCAGTAACTTTAATAATTCACATCAGATAGGTAGCTTTTCCGTATGAATAAAAGATGTTGGGAGGGATTAGAATAACTATAATTTATTAAGAAATACATCATATGTTCTCTAAACTAAATTGCTAAAGACCTTGATAAAAGATAATTGGTCAAATTCAAATCTTTCTGTTCAAATTGAGAGCTGTGGAATTCTTTAAAGTAGTGGTTCTCATATTTTGGTGTGGCTAAGAGTCACATCTCCAAAGATCTTTATTTATTAGGTCCGTGCAATGACGTGGGAATCCACGTTTACAATTCTGAGGCAAACAGTCTGCTGACCATACTGTACAAGTCGTGGGGAAAAAATATTCAAGTGATTGATGATTAGTTGATGATGGCTGGAAAATAGTTATCGATGGGAAACGATGTTCTTGGTTAATCTGAGAAAAAGAAGGTAGAAGAGTTGCAGTTTTCTAAGAGTTAACTGAAGAAACTAGGATATAGAAAAATAGTCACCAGTTATCTGTTATGTTTTCAAAGAAATGAGCAAAAAAGAAATAGGTTTAAATTGCAGTGAGTAAGCTTAAGATTGCGTGTGTTAATAGATACATTTTCCCAGCACTGGGATCCTAGTTTATCTCTTACATGGATACCATCCAATCCCGCACTCCAGTTGACTTGTTCCTAAAGAATCTCTGCCAAAGTTTTCTTTTCTGCCAATTCACCCTTAGGAAACTTTTTTTCTTAATCAGCTATTCTCTATGATCTAGGTGACCCACCCCCCTCCACCCCTCTGGAGTAGTCACTATGAGAACAATTTATAGTGAGATAATTAAATGTTGAAAGGCTTTTCTTCTTTCAAGAAAAGTTTTAAACTGCAGATATCCTTTCAGATGGGTTTCCTTGGGTGGCACTAGTGGTAAAGAACCTGCCTGTCAGTGCAGGAGACATGAGAGACGCGGGTTTGCTCTCTGGGTTGGAAAGATCCCCTGAAGGAGGGCATGGCAACCCACTCCAGTATTCTTGCCTGGAGAATCCCCATGGACAGAGGGGCCTGCTGCTACAGTCCACAAGGGTGAAAAGAGTCGGACACGACTGAAGTGACTTAGCACGCATGCACCCATCCTTTCAGTTAAGTTCTTTAACTGCCTTTAGTAGTCATTTATTGACAATGTAGAAGATCTGTGTGTAATTTAAGGAGCATTGGTGGTATACTGGTGAGCATAGCTGCCTTCCAAACAGTTGACCCCGGGTTCGATTCCCAGCCAACGAAGCAGGCCAACCTTTGTGACTTCTTACTGGCTCAGCCAGTAAGGAGTCTGCCTGCAATGCAGGAGACCCAGGTTCAATCCCTGGGTTGGGAAGATTCCCCTGGAGAAGGAAATGGCAATCCACTCCAGTATTCTTGCCTGGAAAATCCCATGGACAGAGGAGCCTGACAGGCTACAGTTCCTGGGGTCTCAAAGAGTCGGAC